GGAAGTCTTGAGTCCATCCTGACCTGATTGACATGCAGGATCAGTAGTAAGCTTGACACTGTGCTGCTCAACCTAAAAGGCAGAGGCCAAGAAATAGCTATGGTTTTCCCTAAAGTGGATCTTCTCTCAAGCATTTCAGGAGTTTTTTTGTTCTGCCAGATTAAACTGGAAGATACATTTAATTCACCTCTGTCCAAATAACATAGAGACCACATCCCAACACCGGTACCTGTGGGGCACCTTCTAGGCACTCAACATGCCTGAGGACAGTTCAGAAAAGAGAGGGCTGTGTGCTCAAGAAGCTCACTGGGTCCTGGCATGCTTAAGGGGTTGAAGCCCTTAGGGCCTTTTCAACCTAGATGAAGATATCTGGGAGGTTTTCCAATAAAATGAGAGACCCTGTAAGTCCTATGGATTACTAAAAACTGGGCTGTAGCACCCCTGTCCTCATGCAATAGCCCTTCCAGACCACCCAGAGCCGCCTTTCTCATGCCACCAAGGCAGTTCTCACCTCACAGAGGTTTCATTCTTCTCAGGGTTTGGACCATAGCTAGAAGAATTTAGGCTGGACAAAGTGAAGATTGTGGAGTCAAACATTCAAGTGGGTTGCAGAGGTTGAGACAGGAATCTTCTTTGGAGAGAGTTCAAGTTAGAAACTAGGGATAGTCTAGTAGTCATTTGATATGACAGCGTCAGATATAATCTGGATGATTCCTCAGGTTCTTCCAGCCTGAGTTCTCATGACTAAAGGGGAGCAGAGGGATATGGTTGACCAGCCCCCACCTGCAGACATCAACCCCATACTACTCTNAGCAAAGAAAAAAAACCAAAAACGAACACCCCATTGGTTACCAAATGCCATAATCACACACAATGCAGTAGAATTACTATAAAATGCTGCTTAATCATAATTGTTATAACTGTAAATAATGCTGCTGAGTGAGTAGCACAGAAGTTCTCTGAACTCGTTGGAAGGGACTAAGTCCCATGGAAGATGAGTAAGTCTCAGGTGCATAGAATCTGACCCTTGTTTCCTTTTTGACAGAAATCCCGAGAAGATGTCAGTAATTTTGACCCTGACTTCATAAAAGAAGAGCCAGTTTTAACTCCAATTGATGAGGGACATCTTCCTATGATTAACCAGGATGAGTTTAGAAACTTTTCCTTTGTGTCTCCTGAATTGCAGCCTTAGCCTTATGGGGAATGAGGGAGACAGCATGAGAATCACAAGGGGCTACAGATTTTCCAGGAATTTCCTTGGTGGGGAACTCCCCAGCATCAGCCTTAGAACAAGAACATTACTGTCCAGGAGCAGGTGGAGAACTCCAAAGGACAGAACTTCAAGAGATCAACTATTTCAAGTCCTGAGGGAGCCATGGCACCGGAAGTAGTTGATACTGACATGAGATTTCATGAAGAAATATACTGTTCAACCTTTGAGTTTCTGTGGCTATTTCGAGCTTGGGATATTAACAGGAACCAAAACAAGAGAAGGTGTGAAGAATAAAGTAGATCCTAGGAATTCTGAGCCAAACAGGCTTTTTACTTCAACGGTCAAATCAAGACTTTGTATGGACCTCCCTTTAAGCCAATGAGCCCCTAATACTGGCAGTTTGCAAGAAGTCTCGAAATGCTAACGAAGAATCTAAAGATAAGGAAATGGACAGCTTTCCAAATAAAATTATTTACTCTGAACAAAAAAAATGGTATGCAAAAAATTCATAACTTAAAGCCCAATCTTGAAAACAGATATTGGGCACCAAGACAACATTCCAGCTTATTCTCTTATCCTTACCTTAATAGATATTTATTGAATGCCTTGTAAGACGGTGCCACCAGTACCCAGTTGTGTAAACAGATTTGCATTCACCAAGCTTTCATTCTATAGTCCATTAATTTACCTGAGTGGTGTTTGCATTCTGTGAAATGCCTTTCCACATTGCATATGTCATACTTCTTTGTCTGCACTTAAGTCTTTTTTCACAGAAGGCTCACTGCCCCAACAGCAACAGTCTACACCATCAGCAGGTGAACTAGAGGTGCTTGCTGCCTGCTGCCTCCTGGAATCCTAACCTGGGGCAATGTGTCAATATTGCTCTGGACTCCTCAGTGAAGAATCGCACGCCACTCACGTCAACGACCAGACTTATGGCTTATACGTTAGCAGTTTATTTAAATTATATTTTAAGAAATGAAGATGTTTGTTTGGTATGCATTTTAATAATTAGAAATGGCTCTTGTAAACGGGACACTTATCAAAGAAGGACCTTATAATATGTACCCATATATGCAGTTGGACAATTTTATCTGGCTGGAAATAAACGCATTTTGTAGCAAAAGGAAATTTTTTTTGTCTAGAAGAATTTGTCCCATCCCCTCTGGCAGAGTAGATACCCTATTAAAATAATAGCTTTGAGCAGAATGGATAGAATTCTTGAGAAGAAAGTTTGGCATAACCTTCTGTACATCCCTTAAATGAGTGTAGCCTCTTACTGACCAAAACATCCATTCTGAATCAGACTAAGGACTGGTAATCATTGCTGCAGTGCTCAGACTCTCAGTGGCTAGACAGAATGTTCATTTCTGATTCACATAAAGCATAGTGCAAGTTCAATGGCCCTCTTCCATCTTGTAACTGTGCCATCTGGAAAAATGTAGCTTCCAAGGCTGCCATAGCAAAGAAACGAGATGGAGGAGGTGCGCACTGCCTAACTGCCTTTCTGAGGAGGGACACACATCACCTCGCTCACATTTGATTGGCCAGAACATTACCTCCCTCTAACTACAAAAGGGATGGGGAATTACAGAACAGCAAGGAGTGTCTGGCTAGTAGTAATATCCTCTGCTGGTGATTCTTTTTTGCATTCCAAGGTGAAAAATGACTTGGACTGACTAGAGTACCTAGGAGCCCCCCTCCTATATATATGTAGCACTTAGCCTTTCATAGGCGCTCTCACCTACGTCATTTTACTAGATCTTCGTAATATCCCTAGGAGGTAAGACAGGTAATCCTACCACTATTTCCAGGGGAAAACACAATGGCACATTTTACAAATGGGAAGAAAAGGGAGTTCAGTAAAGTTGTTATTGGTTGCTGCGAGGTTTCAGACGTGGTAAGGAGTGAATCCAGTCTGGAGTCCAAATCTTTGAAGTTCTAATCCAACAAACTTCTATAGAAAGGGAGGCATCATTCTGAGGGTGGATCATTTTGGCCTTCATAGCTAATTGCAGGTTAGGGTCTTTTTGCTCTGTGAGGCTGATTAGCTACGTGATGTGGTTTATCCCACAGTGGTCAAGAACCATAAAGAATAAAGCATGCCTCCTGTGTTTGCTTACAAAATCCATTGTCACAGCCCTGCAAAGGACCACATCGTTCTTTGATGAGTCTGTGTAACCACTCAGCAGCTGCCCTCTTCACAATCTGTTCTCAAGCCTGCTGCCTGGGTCCCCCAGTTTGGGTTAAGTCCATTCTTTTAGGTAACTCCAGACCAGTCAGATTATTGACAGCCAATGATTTTGCTCTGATAGGATTTCCAGTGCATCTTTCTGGTTTCTCTTTTATATAAGAGGAGAGGGGGAGGTACAGGATATTTACCAAAAACTCAGAGTCTCTAACTCAAGGGTTAGAGCTCAGTTTCACATTTTTCATCGGTTCTTCTAAACCTTGCATCCCTTCTGAGGATCACAAGGCCAGCCTCCCGCCTGCACTTTCTGGGGCAGACTGGCCAAACGCCCTTCAGTCAGCAGGGGCTGAGTCTGCTGCTGGGTGCCCTGAGCTTAGCTGGCAGCGTGAGGTCAGGACGAGGTCACACTGACCCTCCCCTTCTTCAAGACCACCTTTGCCTCTAGGATAAGGAATATTTAGACATCCTCAGGCCTTATCACCCTGCCTTCTCCATCCTCCCTCCAACCCCCTGCCCCACGCTGGCCCCAGCTAGTCCTTATCCCCACAGCCTTTCATTCCTACCTTCCCAAGTTATTCCATGCTGAACTCAACATCCGGCCTTAAGTATTTGAAAGGAGAATAACTACAAAGCATTCTTTGAAATGTTGATCAGCTTTNTTTCTTTGAAAAATTGAAAATTGAATTAGCTTAAGTGTCTTTGAAATCGAAAATCACATTCTGACCATGAAAAGTGAATTATCCTGTACTAGTCCTTGGTCAGGACAAGATCAGAACACCTTTATTGGCCATTTTGTGAAAGTAGATTTAGCCCAAAACATCTTGATAAGAGCTCAGCCCCAAGGAACTTTCCCAGTTGATACAAATACATACACACATTGCTTGAATGTATGGCAATGTTCGTTTTCATTTATGGCCTATGTAGCAAGATTCTCAATCATTAAACATTTCAAAATGGAAGGGCAGGGGAGAAGGGAGCATCTTGAAGAAAAAAACTTTTCATTTAAAACTATGATGGCTTTGTTACATAAAGAAAAGTGGCCGACTTTGTTTATTCTAGAGCCGGAACATAGAGCTTTAAGTTTTTCACCCTCGCGGCTTCTTCACACAGACCTTCAAAATAATGACTCTTACTCTTCTCTCTATGGTCTTGTCAGAGAGCAGGAATCCTGGCCAGCGAGTCAGGTCTCTCAGAAAAATGGCACAGCTGTTTCCTAAAAGTAGCCCCATTCATAAGATGTGGGCTGTCTACAACTGCAGAGCTGGAGAAAAGTGCACTATTTTATAAAGAGTTTCCTTTCTTTAAAGGGGAAAGAAAAATACATGGTATTTACAGAAAACTGGACCCTTCAGCTTTATTTTAGTGGCCACGTCTGAAATGGAAGTGGGGCAGGCCATAAATACACACGAGTAATTGTGCCTTTAAGGGATGATTCACATTGGCTGTGCTGCCCATGATGGAAAATTCAGCGAGTTAAGCAAGATCAGCCAGAAAGCCTCACACAGGCTCCTCTGCCCGAGCTGATGCCAGCCATCTTGTAGCACACTTGTTATATATGGTTGAATGACTGACTCTCTTTCTCCCCATCTCTCCCAGTTCATGACCAAGAACCCCACCATGCGCTTGGGCAGCGTGACTCAGGGCGGTGAGCATGCCATCTTGAGACATCCTTTCTTTAAGGAAATAGACTGGGCCCAGCTGAACCATCGCCAACTAGAACCACCTTTCAGGCCCAGAATCGTAAGTGTCCAAGACCATCATGGTAGACTTTCTTTTTCTTAAAATGTCATAGTGTTCCATCAAAGTCCACTGAGTAACTGGATAGCTCCCTATGGAATAACCAAACCAGAAAATTCAGCCTGACCCTTGGCAGAGCAGCCTCACCCCAGAGGAGGCTGGGCTCCTTGCCTCTGAGGCAACACCTCTACATGTGCCCCGGTTACTTCTCACAAAGTTTTTTACTTCTCACTTACCCTGGCCCCATCCTCCTTAACCTACGTTAAAATTTCCTGGTGCCTAAGGAGCCTGACACTTCATAGGTTTCTCCAAAACAGTTTGGCTAAATGAGACATTCATCATTTCTAAGCCAGTTTCCTTGTGCTCCTTAGTCAGGCCACCTGTCCCAAGTCCCCAAGGAAGCACAGGGGGCATGAAATGCTACTCACTTCGGTAAGTCTGGCCCCTTGGCTTGGAGAGCCTGGCTCTGTAACAGCTACTACAGCACAGAGCTCAGGCCAGAACAGGCCCAGTCCCTTTTGACTCAAGAAANTTTCCCCCTCCCCCCACTCCCAAACCCCATCCCACCCCCCGTGGGCTCTCGTCAGCCTCATTTTAAATATCCGTCTCTGCCTTCTCCTATGGAAAACTGACTTGTCAACACCACATCAAAGCCCTGGTGTTTCTCTCCTCCCATGCTGCCCCATCAGCTAACTCACATGCCCACCCTTGTCCCTCTTACCGCTACCCTGGGCTGAATGGTGCTGCTGGCACAGGCCATTCTGGGTCTGTGCCTCACCCCCACAGCTCGCAAAAAGGGGTGTGAAAGGAGAAGGTTGGTGAGTGGCCTTCTTAACTAGGTCAGGCTATCTGTGACAGTGGCAAAAGAGACACAGGTGGCTGCAACATGCACACACAAGCATGCATTTGTCAGCCCCCTGTGGTACGCCCATGTTGAGGCTGGCCATCACGGCCATGAGCCATACTCTATTCTGCATCCTGTGCCCTTTCTCTGCTTTCGTTCCCCAGGACTCCCTGTAGAGCCACACAATGCCTTCTTCCCATTTCAGAGCGTCTCAGCAGAATATTGATGGGAACGTCCTTTGGCACAGGCTCCTTCCCTTCTAGCTTGCCAGCACTAACTGCTAACTCTCTCTGCTCTTTCATCTGAAATTGAATGAAAGGAGAAGGTCATTTTGTTTGCCCAACAGCCAGATCCAACTATTAGGTAGAAAATACAGTGTGTTCTCCCTCTTGGAAGAAAATCTTATTAGACTAATTGCTCTATTTATATAACTAGTCCTCTTTCTCTGAAATCAGACAGATTTTGAAAGAGGAAAAAATACTTTTAGCCATTGCCTACATTTTTAATGAGTTTCAAAGTACATTTGGATCTTGTATCTCAAGACACATTATTACGCAAGGTAGGTTTCAACTTTATCCTGTGGAACATTCAACAACTCAAAACCAAACTCTGCTCATGCGCAGCAGAACCCATGAGACATGAGTGTGCTGGACCTGACACCAGATCACTAGATTTACAAAGAAATTACTCCATTGCCCCCTTCATCCTGCATTCATTATCTCCCTTCTATTGTTAAAGCAGATGAAACTACGCATTAAAACCTGAGTATTATTTGTCTGTTTTAAGACTGTCTTTATAAATCTTTGCTGTCAGAAAATTTGTTCTCCAGAAACCATCACTACCACCTCACGGTTGGAGCTTGGGACTATGAAAGCAGAAACAGACCTGTTCTCTCTTTCCTGGCTGCAAAGTGGAGGAGCAGGGAGAGCCAGATGAGTCTCAGAGTCAAGGCTGACCTCAGATTTTAGTCTCTCAGAGGCTTTCAGTCCATGCTCCTGCCTTCAGGTAGAACAGGATGGATCTACAAGTGGTTTAACAAGATGCTTACTGACAAGGACATTTATGAGGGCTTCTGTTGTGGCAGGCATTTTACACTGATTAGCTCATTGACTTGTCATAGCAACCTTATGAAGTACAGAAAACGTCTCCATTTTATAGTTGGGGAATCTGAGGTCCAGAGAAGTTAAGAAATTTGTACAAGGTCACACAGCTCATTGGCAGTGGAACCTGGTATAGAAACACAAGTAGTGAAATTGCATAGCCTAACTGGTTAACCTCTGTGTCCCCCGCATCAGAGGAGCTCTTACATATATACCATATATATATATGCTTTGCAGGAGGCTTCCCAGGACATTCTTATATAAGCCTGGCCTAAATCTCTTATATTTTACTGTAGAACTTCCTTCAGGAGGACGCGTGGCTGACTGCTTTCCCCTGTAGTCATACCTTCTCTGCAGCCTTAAAAGAATTGTTAAGTTTCTCATACTCAGGGCTGGTGTGCCTCTGATTCCTCCAGCATCCTCTCGTTAAATTCCACTTTAACGAGGGCCACGGAAGGAAGGAGAATGCAAAATGAGTCCGTACATTCTTGATCCCTCTCCTTCTCCTCCTCTCCAGTCAGCTGGAGACTTAACATTTAGGTTGGAATCGGGTTTTCCACCCTGGCCTCCCCACTCTTTGTGGCTTATAAAGTGCTTTTATTGACCCTAGAAAACATCCTGCCTCCTTTAGTAAACGTGTCCAGAATCTTTCACGAAGTCACTTGATTTTCCTCCCTGGCTGACTTTCTCCTTTGGACCACAGTCAGGAAGAAGGTCATTTGAGGTGAGGTACATTTTAAGCATGACCTTAAACATGGACAAATGATTGCTCAAACAACACTGTTGTTAACTTGTTTGGCATGTGGATCCCATTAGGGACATAAGCAAATAGAGGCAGTTTCCTGCAAAGGGATCATGCCATTACCCTTCACAGCAGCCGGAGCACCATGTTTAGGAAGAGTGCTGTGCCTGGCCTGGGGCAGCAGCCCCTCCTGCCCCCGACCCTACACACCGCCACCAGTGCGTGCCATGAAAGAGTTTAGGCTTGGGACCAAGGTTAAATTTCCCCTTAATTCCCCATCTCTGCATCTTTGGAGGAGGGTAGTCCTTGCAGGGCTATCCCTCCTCCTCAGAATGGTCGCTGTCCTGGTTTCTGTTTCGTGGTATTCATTCTCCTCTGGCTTCTTCATGAGCCCCTCCTGCTGCCATCCTGGCTTTCCTCTCACTCTGTGCCAGGGCCCAGGAGCCCTGTGGCATCAGTGAGTGAAGCCAGCCAGGTGTGAGGCGAGAGGAGGTCGTGGGGCATGTGGCTGACCAAGGCTCGTATGCCGACGCCCCATCTCAAGAGGCAGCCACTGCTCAACTCCAGGCCATTTTTTTCAAGGAGAAATGCAGGTCTGGTGTTGCAGAATATCCCATTTTCCAAGAGAAATTGGAAAACTTGAGTTTTATGTGATGACACATTTCCTAGTTTTTAAATGTTTGGCAAGTAGTTAAAAATTTTAAAACACGCTGTATGGGCCAAATAAAATGTCGGAGGCCTGGGGCTGGTCTCAGTTTGATACTCTCTCTCCCTCCCCACAACCTTACCTGTCCTCCGAGTTGTGGCTCTTGCTCTCACCAAATGGTGACGTCTCAGAGTAAGATCTCTAACCCGGGCCTGCACCCTAGATTTACAGGACTGGTCATCTCCATGTGGATGTGTGTGCACCTCAAATGCAAGGCTGAGCTCATCAACCTCCCAAATCTGCACAGGTCTCAAGAAATGGTAGATGTTTTTGTTTCATTGCCCTGACAAAAATACTATTACTGCTGCTGCTACTTTTATTAATACTAATATTAATACTACCTACAGTAATCTGTTACTCCTCTTTTGTGATCTATTTCCGTTACTCAACACCACCGCCCTGTCAGCCAGCCAGTGTGGATGGCCCCTGTGACCTTGTATTCCCTCCTAAATGACACGATGACAAGAGTCATCTCCTAAATCACAGATCAGCTCTCGTCACTCACTTCTTCATACACTTTTGATGGATCCTAATGGCTGCTCCCCAGTTTCTCAACCATCCCTGCCTGCCAGCCGCCCCNTTTTTTGGATATGTCTCCTCAGGCAAGGGAAACAAAATTAAAAATAAACAAATGGAACAACATCAAACTAAAAAGTTTTTGCACAGTGAAGGAAACCATCAACAAAACAAAAAGACAACTTACTGAATGGGAGAAGATATTCAACAATGATTCAATCGAGAAAGGGTTAATATCCAAAATATATAAAGAACTCATACAAAAAAATTAATCTAATTTAAAAATGGGCTGAGGACTTGAATAGACATTCCTCCCAAAAGGACATCCAGATGGCCAATAGACATATGAAAAGACATTCAACATCACTAATCATCAGAGAAATACTAATTAAAACCACAATGAGATGTCACCTCAACTGTCAAAATGACTATCAACAAACAACAAGTGCTGGTGAGGATGTGGAGAAAAGGGAGCCCTGGTGCACTGTTGGCGGGACTGCAGATTGGTGCAGACATTATGGAAAACAGCATGGAGGTTCCTCAAAAAATTAAAAATAGAACTACCATATGACCCAGCAATTCCGCTTCTGGATGTTTATCTAAAGAAATTAAAAACACCAATTTGAAAAGACACATGCACCCCTATGTTCATTGCAGCATTATTTACAATAGCCAAGATATGGAAGCAACACAAGTGTCCATCAATAGTCAAATGCATAAAGAAGATGTGGTATGTATATACAGTGAAATATTAGCCATAAAAATGAATGAAATCTTGCCTTTTGTGACAATATACATGGAGCTAGAGAGTATTATGCTAAGTGAAATGTCAATGAAAGACAAATACCAGGTGATCTCAGCTATATGTGGAATCTAAAGAACAAAAAAATGAACAAAGCAGAAAGACTCTAAATACAGAAAACAAATTGATGGTTGCCAGATGGAAGGTGGATTGGAGGGCTTGGTGAAAAAGAGATTAAGAAGTACAAATTGGCAGTTATAAAAATAGTCACGGGGATGTAAAGTACAGCATAGGGAATATAGTCAAAAATATAATAATCGTATGGTGCCAGGTGAGTGCTGGACTTACTGAAGGGATCACTCCCTAACGTATATAAATAACCACTATGCTGTACACCTGAAACTCATATA